TCCAGCGGCCGAGTTCAACCACGCCGGGAGGCAAGCATCATAAGAAGTCTGCGGACTCCAGTGGGAAGTACAACACCTTCAGCACGAGAGACGGGTATAGAGGTGAGGGTAGCGGCATCCGCGGCCGCCTTGACATGGACCAGCGCACTTCATTCTGTGAGCGAGGCGAGAGTCAGAGGAGACACATTTCTTTTTTGGAAGAAGACTCTGCGGCGGCGGGCCACGGGATGAACAGCCATCCCCACGACCATCACAGAAACCCTCGCCCTTGCTCCTCTACCTCTGACCGCCTGTTAGATGTGGTCAACATGGGGGATGGTCACGCAGATAATGGCGCTGCGGGTGTTGATCAAGATGAACGTTTGGTTGTGGCGTCGTTGTTATCCCCAACGAAAAAACCCAGAACAGGCGGGTCCGAGCAGGGATCCGACACACAAAGTGACCACCCGCCCATGTCTAGACAGCAGAGTGTTGCACGGTTGTGTGAGTACCATCTCGCAAAACGGATTTCAAACTTGCAAGGGGAGGCCCACAGCTCCCTGCAGGGTTCTTTGTGCTCGTCGCTGGATGCTGGCGGCAGCACAAACAGTAGCGCGTGTGCCACCCCAACTGACTCCCCGCTGGGCCCCGGTCCATTTGAATCAAAACACCACCACTTGCAAAGGCACCCACTTTCTAGTTCCTCCTCGTCGTTACTCAGGGTGCTAAACTATGACGACAACAAACCTCGTGGCAACCCTGGTCAGAGCGCTCAGGGAAAGGACCCCCACCCTCACGCTGACCCCGCCCTCCTCCGGAAAATGCTGCCCAACATTCACGCTCCAGCCGAACCGGCCCGACCCTCGTCTGCAACGCCGTCAAAGCATAAAGAATCGACAGGAACTGGAAGCAAGAGGGCCCACAATGATCTGCATGCCAAACAACAGGCCCACTTGAAAGGCCTGAATCAGAAGGAAGGCAGCGAGGCCTACAGGCAGCTGATTAACTATCTAACAGTCAGCCAGATGCATCAGGGTGGGAAGCTGCACAGTGCAGGCATGGGAGCAGCTGTGAAAAAGGACACCAGGCGTTTTATCACAAGCAACCCGCAGCTTGTTGAAATGGTTAAGAACAGGGGGAACACCATAGCTCGCTGCCCGTGTATGCCTTCCTCCATATCATCCCCGTTTCTTAGTCCAAATGTAGTCCCCCCTAACGCGTCAGCCCCCATGCAGCTGGCAAATAAAAGTCAGCGCTCATACCATTCAGCCACTCTGCCTGCCAAACTTAAGAGAAGCCCCGAGATGCATTCTCAGATGCTGAACGACAATCTAGATTACAGGTCGAGTACTTCGGAGAGAAGAAGCTCCTTTTCTGGCCTGGAAAGTGAACTAGAGAGGAGTGGTATGGACCCAGAGCAGTTCCTTTCGATGTATAAAAGAGAGGGCTGCATGAGCCCGGAGGGGCGATTCATTACAGGTGGGAACCATGAGGACGGGGGCAACCCTAACCGTCACCCGCCTAGGTCCAGAAGCCAACCGAGTGGCACCACAGACGACTGGTTCAGATCAGAACCGAGAGCTAAGCATGCCGTCCGTCAGTCTTCACATCAACGCCCCAGTGATTCCCTCTGTTTCTCTGCCGCCCCCAGTGTGAGCGGTCAACAATTAGACTTCAACACCTTCTCTTTAGGAAGGGGAGACCATCCTTCAGCTTTTATCAGGCAGACGTCAACCGGTCCAAGGGCTTGCATAACTTCTCCATCTCGCAACCCACAATCCCCACCTCCTCCTCCACCTCCCCCACCACCACCACCACCGCCACCACCACCGCCTTCTTCTCTGTTGCCCCTTCCTGTGCAGGCCAACACGAGCTCCAGCAACTCGGGATGCCAACAGAATTCCATCCATACCATGCAGTTCCACCCTAGCCAGAACCACATTCAAGCTTTGACCCAACCCCTCAGACGGATTCTCTGGGCAACAGCCTGCAACGGGGTCGGGAGCTCAAACGGAGCTCCAGCAATGTGACGGCGTGTTCCAACAGCGTGGAAGTTATGTTCGATAAGCCCACTCGAAGCAGGAGCCAGCAGCCCTTGTCACCATCTGTGCCGCAGCAAGGCGAGACAAAAGTCCAGCGAAGGCCGACGAGAAAGCGGCTCTCCAAGAGCTACTCCCAAGGCTCCGTGTCTTCCCACACCTCGTGCTGGAGTACAGGCAGCAGGTTGGACTGCCGGAGGGCTTCTGTTGCGTTTCCATTGCAGAAAGACGGGAAACACATAAAGGGCTCTCAGAAACTGGACACCAGCCCCTGGCGATGCAACGGGCCTTTCAGCTACTGTTTCTTCAAACGCAAGAGTGAGGGCGAGGAGGAAGACGTCGAGTGGGAGAAACCAAGACGAAGCCGCAAGGGGAGTGACATCAATGCAAACGACAATGCTGCCGCCATGTTCCCATGTGGCTCGGCGGTGGATGCAGCCGGGGAGCAGCTGTACGGGGAGGTCCTCAACAACATGAGCTTCAGCGACCGCCTTGCACGGATCAACGCGCTCAAGGACCGCATGTACGGCTTCCCTTCCGGCTTCACCGATGTCCGCCGCGACGCCAGTGAACTCATCGCGCTGGTGAGGTCGAGCATAGGCCGCTGTGACCGCGGCGCCCAGATCCCTCTGCAGGACGTGGCCCAGTACAAGCAGCTGCTCTCCGTGGAGTCGAAAGAATTGGGCCGGGCGTGCCGGCGGATGGCACAAGCCCACGGCACGCCGGAGGAGATGTTGCTGGCTGTGACTTGTAGTTTCCAGGTGCTGTGCTGCCTCTGCGAAGCCTGCATGTGTCTGGTCCGAGGGCTCGGCGCTTCAGCCTCGCACCAGCAGAGAGAGGTCGTGGCTAAGGTCGACGAGGTCGTCATGAACTATATATGTTTGCTCAAAGCGGCCGAGACGGCGACAGTGGGAGCGCCTGGGGAGCACAGCGTGAAAGCCCTGGTCCGCCACTCCAGCACCATGTCGGCCATTGCTAACGCACTCACCCGCTCCCTTAAAACGCTGCTTAGCAAGTAGAGGCTACTCCTTATGCTTTATAGTGTGGCCTAAGCAGTCAGCAGATGTCTGTGTTTAAGCATCTAGAGTCTGATGTGTTTCACATAGGGTCTGGAGGGTCTCCATATCAGTATAAATAAAGTTGCATCGAGACATTCAACGGAGGAAGATGCTTAAATTTAGCCCAGTCTGACTACACTTGCTTTTTCTGTTGACAATATGTAATGTATATTTACAAAGCCATACTGTCGCAGACCTTTGTTTCATGATATGTACCCAATAGATACCCTCCTACCTGTGCATTATGTAACTTATTTAAAAGATGTATATAATGTATATATACAGTATACACTATTATTTGCTGTAGCAGTTTTAAGAAGCCAGTGAGCATTCAGCTGAGTTCACACTCGACTCTGGAGTGTTTTCACTTTCAGTTTTAACAGTTCATAAAGTGCAGTTTGACTAAAGATATTTATTATGATCACTCTTCAAAATCAACCTGGAGACATGTGTGCGCTAATGTGTCACAGTCGGTCAGGTGTGGAAAATGTTGCTATGATTTTATTCACATAATAATTGTTGGTTTGTATGTCTGAGTGAGTGTTTCAAAGGTTAACCTCTGCTGCATTATTATGCAGGTTTCATTTTGTGTGCAATGCTTGAGGGGGATATTGTTAGGAATGACACGTAGACAACACAGAGACACTGACATTTTAAATCGCTTCTTCCCCTTTTTTTTTTTGCAAAGATGATTTCCAGAATGGTAAATTATAAGCTCTTCACCAATCACTGAATATTTGAAAATTATAGCTACAATTTATAAAGAACTATTTCAGATTGACCACTGTGTAAATTCTAATTGTTTGAACTATTTGTGTTTTATTATCATCTTGTTTTTTTTGTTTTTTTGGGGGGGAAGGTGGTGGTGGTGGTGGGGGTCATTTCTGTGCTTAAATGATTTTATGATTTCACACAATGTTTTGAAGATGCAGTTGTGTCTCTTGGCAAGAAATTGTTTTTTTTCAATATTCCACCAATCTATTAAAAAAAAACACATTTTACAAATACTTGATGGACTCTTGCCTCGTGTCTTGATTTGTGTGGTTTGAACAGCTCATGAGTTCAATGTTTTTGTATGAAATGACTCAATCAGTAATAATACAGACACATTTGCATATGAGGCTTTTAACATAGAGCCAAACTTGTCTAATATATAAGGGGAGATCTAGAGCTAGTTATACAAACTCAGGGTACAGGAGAAAGGAAGTTGTTAAGATTTTATACAGACTGTGGTGCTCGCTTACAAGTCAATCAATCAATCAATTAGCCCCACCTATGAGCTCAGGATCTCCCATGAGACAAAGTGGTTATGAATTTACACATACGTGAAGATTTACATGTAGCGACATACTGTAATATGATGAGAGAGAGAGAGAGCAGGGAGAGGAGAGAGAGAGGGGGAGAGAGAGAGGGGTGAGAGAGAGAGAGGGAGAGAGAGAGAGAGAGGGGAGAGAGAGAGAGGGGAGAGAGAGGAGAGAGAGGGAGAGAGAGAGAGAGAGAGAGGAGAGAGAGAGAGAAGGGAGAGGAGAGAGAGAGAAGGGAGAGGAGAGAGAGAGAGAAGGGAGAGGAGAGACAGAGAGAAGGGAGAGGAGAGAGAGAGAGAGAGAGGAGAGGAGAGACAGAGAGAAGGGAGAGGAGAGAGAGAGAGAGAAGGAGAGGAGAGACAGAGAGAAGGGAGAGGAGAGAGAGAGAGGAGAGGAGAGAGAGAGAGAGCTCAAGGTGTCAAAAAGGAGACAAAATGCGTGACAAATACAACCAAACATTTTTGGGCTAAGAGGAGGCAGTAGCTCAGTCCATAGGGACTTGGGCTAGGAAGTCAAAGATTGTAAGTTCAAGACCTGAGTGGACCATAATTTATAAAAAAAAAACAAAAAAACAATTATAATGAAGAAAAAGATGGTTCAGCTGTTAAAGAACAAAAATGTTATCTCAATCCATTTAATTGAATAGTGACACACATATTTTCTGAAATACTGAAAACAAGTCAGTTCTAAGTCAAATGCACATGTGCCACATGTCAGTCAGTTGAGGTGATCCGGGCCTTGAACGCCCCCATGAGGATGTGAGAGGGAGAGGGAAGTCTGGATTTGACTTGACTGCGCTTGCTGCCACCGGGACCCGACTTCGGATGAGCGGAAGAGGATGATCTGGATGGATGAAAAAATAAATATAAGATGAAATTCTCCTTGAATAAAAAATAAAGAAAAAACAAACAAAAACCCTTTCCTGAACAACAAATACACACACAGAGGGAGCGAGTCAGATAATATATATTTTTTAAACTTTAATGATATAAAACTACATTGTCATATCCCCATTTTACCCAGCCATAGTCCCACCTGCGGTAAAACAGTAAAATTTGCATATTGGGCGCGTGTTCTACGCATGCTGCGACATCAACCAATCAGGTCAAAGTCTATAAAGATAAGCCACGCCCACCCACCCGCGCTTCAGCATCAGCGTTGCAACAGGCTCGAGGAGGCAGCAGTTAAGTTTCCCTCGCTTTACATGGAAAAACAATATCACGGTGTTTCTTTTTTTATCGTGATAAGTTATATTTCAGCAAGTTTGTGACTTCGCAGTGAACGCGAGGTGTTTATTCGTCGCGCTGAGCCTCTTTTCCCACCGAGTTTACCTTCCTATCGTGGGTGAAGTTATCGTCGGGTACCCCGTGGGGTTTAAAGTTCAGCTACCAGTAGCGTCTCTGTGCTACTAGCAGGTAGTTAGCTTCACATCTTCACCGACAACTTCTTTTTTGTCACAATGGCAGCTTTGTGCCACCCGCGACGTGCCTTGGTGGAAATACCTGCTCCACAGCCGAAAACCGCCGGTAGGTAAAACATCCAACTTTTGAGTTGCGAGGGTGCAAAGTTGACCTCTTTTGTGCAGGGAGGCGCCACTTTGCTATCATGCTAACGCGCGCCCTGCGAGGTCAACAAGCCATGCATGTCCACATCACCTTTAACACTACTTTAATTAAGAGTAACAACAGTGTAAGGTGGATTAAATGGTAAAAGTCGCTGTGTGCATGGAGGGAAAACAACCGAATTATTGCCATGAGTGTAAAGTAAAGAGTAAGCGAGTAAAAAGACTAAATTAATGGTTTTTATGTTAATTTTACACGCTTTTTTTTCTGTTTTTGTTGTGCAGCTCGAATGAGGAGGTCTTACCTGGAGATTTTAGGTGCTCGTTTGGCTCCATCGTCCCCACTGCCAAGAGGGAGACATGCAACTTCAAACACAAGGCGTTCGCAGTCATGTAAGTGCAAAAGTCACATCATTATCAAGCTTAATTAACATTGTTTTTTAATTAAGAAGTACAACGAGGAAGCTGGAAAGTGCATAAAAAAAAAAGATAGGTGACCCACGTTTTCGAGACGTAAAAGAAACACCCTGGGGAAATGTTGTACTATCTTCTAACTTGATTTATTCTGGGATAAATGTATGTGAAGGATCAAATCAAACAGTGAAGGTGGTTTATGGCTACGTCTCCTCACAGTGTCACCTACAGGCTGGATGACCCCGAGGGTAACCTCACATTAGTGGTTGAAATGTCAAACAATGCAAGAAAAATCCAGCTCTAACCAAGTCTGTGTGTTTTCATGCTGTCCTAGTGTTCAGGCAGGTTAAAAAAAGTGATTATTGTAACATTATTTGACCTAGTTGTTGGGTAGGATGCATTTTAATTAGTTAATCCAAAAAAAATGTATCACAGAATCTAGTCAGACATTGTGTAATTATGAAAACGGGGAATTAGCATCTGTGATGATTTGCAAGATGTCCTTTTACAAGTATGTAGCATACAAGATGTTTGAGGTGAACTTGCTTACCTGTGCAGCAGCTTCTTCTTCAACATCAGCAGCAGGTGGACGAGTCTTAATTAGTGATTGGCTGCACCTGTGGCGGTAGAAACATGAAGAGAGACTCGACATGCATGTCTGTCTTTGTTCTGAAAACTTAGTTGAGTGCAGCAGACAAAACACAAGTAGAACATGTAACAAATAAGCTTTATTTAATGTTACTTAAAGTCATGTGTAACTTTAACTAATGTATTATCCTTTCTTTATTTAATTATATGCATTTAGTTCAAATACATTGAAATTTGCTCTAGAGTAACTTTCATCTTTACTTGGAATCTAGTCCTAACTTTTAGGAGAGATTCTTAGAAAATGTCAGTGGGAGCAGAACAGACCACAAATGTTCACCTGTGACTTTTTTTCAGTACAAAGCGAGACGTGCATGTTGAGTTTTTCTACCTGGGCTCACCTCCACGGGTGCATCCAATCACTAATTAAGCCTCTTCACCAGCTGATGCAACTCTCAGCAGGTGAAGAGGCTGCTGCACGGTGAGCTCCTGATTTCAAACATCTTGTTTGCTACATACTTTACAAATTATCACACATAATTAACTCAATTCAATTTATTTTTGTATAGCGTCAACTCATAACAAGTGTTATCTCAAGACACTTTACAAAAAGCAGGTAAAATACATTACTCTTTGTCTGTTAACATTACGAAAGAGCAGGTAAAAAGACCTTACTCATTGTTATGTTACAAAGATCTGGCCTATCCATCATGAGCACTTTAGCAAAGCAGCAAAAGTTACAGTGGTAAGAAAAAACTGCCTTATTAAAAGGCAGAAATCTTCAGCCGGATCCCCGACTCATGACGAAACAGCCTTCACAGGCTTAGACTGCACCGGGCTTGGAAGGGGATAGGGGGAGAGATGGGATAAGATGCAGGAAGAGGGATAGGGAGCAAGAGGGTGTGGGGAGGTAGACCAACACAACTACACAATGTCTGACTTTGGAAAAAAAATAAAATTTAGATTAACTGAACACAGCTTTTGAAGAAATGTGTCTTACCTAGCAACGGGGTCAAACCTGCCTCCTCATTAAGATCAAAGTTTCTCTCTCTTCGTCGCTCAGAGTTGCCCTTAAATTGTTCCTAAATAACTCCTCGGCCAAGTGAGGCGCTCTCTGAGAGGGTCCTCTGATCCTGATCTTGACCCCCTTTTTTTGTTTTTCAGTGGACTTATCCATCGGTGGGATGTGGAGCGGGAGGTTGGAGGAGCAGTGTGAGAAGATGGACGAGCAGCATACGCCTCTCTCCCAGCAGCAGCTCGTGCAGCTAATCAGATCGCTCATCTTAGTCGAACAGGTAACCACGCTGGCAATTTCACACGACTCTGATACTCGCAGCTTGAAAACAACAGATGATCTGACTCGATGGCAAATGATTACACATAATTGGCCCAATGTTGCCACAGCATTAGTTTTGTAATGCAGACAAAATGTTGGCACGGCTCTGCTCGTTCTTTTGTCAGTCCCCCACTCTTTTAGACAAAACCTGACATTTCTGCGTGATACCAGGTCGTCATGCTGTCGGGTGCTGGGGGCGAAAGTTCACATTCAGACTGCAATGAGCCATTTGAATTCAAACTGTGCAGTCTTATCAGAACAGCAGGCTGTCTGAGGTAGTTTACCGTTTGATCCAGCAGAGGGCGCCCTCAGCATAACTTTATCATTTCATGCACTCTTCACCTCAGTAAATGAAGAATCATGCTATGGTTAGCTAAAGCTGCAGCTCAAGCTTCTTGATGAGGAGCTAAGCATGCTGGAGAGAAATAGGGAGTGCAAATATTGAATTTATTTTTCTCTCCTTTGGTGAATGAAGACTGTTGTCAAAGTGTTCAACTAAATAGAATTTTCTGCCTATTCAGCTTTCACTACACTCACAAAGAAAATCTAAACGTGATGTGTGTTTTTGACCCCCTAGAGCCAAGAGCCCCGGATCCTGGCAGCTGACCTCAAGTACCTCCAGGAAGACCTGCAACTAAAGAAAACAAATATCTACAGATCCATACCGTACTCACGGTTCGGCTCCAACAGGGACGCTCACTGCTACAGAAAGGCGTACCCACACCTGCTGGCATTCAAAGTGAGTATCACAGGGTTGTAGCCCTTCAAAATAAAAGCTTCTGTCAGTGTTTTTTTTTGTCTTAAACTGAGTTTCATTGTGTCGTTCTCACCTCTTCCCTCCTTTTCCGGCCTGTCAGGTTTCCTGTCAGGAGTGGGGCCAGGTTCTCCTGAGGAACGAAGAGTGGGACGCCGTGATGGAGCACACCCTGATGGCGTGGCGCTACACCAGCGAATTGCCGCAGTGGGATACGGCGAACCACAACGCCCTCCGGGTGCAGTGTTACGGCATCCTGGCGGCTCACAGCCTCACCGCACTCCAGCACTACAAACCTGAATCGAGCAGAGGACGAGAGCTGCTCAGGAGGTATGACTTCAAATTTACATAACGTTTAACATCTTTACATTTTGGGTTGAGTATGCAGTCGTAACCAGCAGAGGGCGTTCTCATCTCGACAACATCATGCTTCTTTTTTATCCTTTTTTCTTTTTTTAGTGGGGTGCAATTTATCGTCTTGCTAATATGGCAATCTATCGCAGTGTATTGTATACATAGTTTTGCCAGAGTCTATATACATGAATAAATTCAGCACCAAACAAGTCTGAGTGTGTGAAACCTGGAGTGTTTCAGTGTTTACTGGAAGGCAAAGTGAAGTCGATTTTGGGTTCAGCAGTGAGGACGAGAGGCCAGATGTAGCCTACAACGGATCTGCAAAACTGAATGTGTGTGGGTGGAGAGATTTGGGCAACATGTATTTGTGAGTGTTCTAGTAATGTGAGGCAGCACAGCGAGCGTGGATATAAAACTGAGTGATAAAGAGACGCGTGACAGTCCTACTGAGCTACAGAGAGAGAGACGTCTCACACATGAATCCCAGTTGAGACCAGAGTGAAGCAGGTTACAAGCTTTATCGATTTTGATGATGGTGACAGTATGGATGTGTGTGTAGTCTCTCACTGACTCTAATAACAGGACTTTACACTTTACTCTACCACACTCATCATTGTCCTGACTACACAGACACGCACACTGATGCAGCAGCAGTCAGGGATTGTGCAACATCCTCTACTTTTAGTCTCTATTTCTATCCCTGCCATTTTCCCTTTTTATTATTTTTTTTAACATCATTCACTCTTAACCTCTTAAGTAAATATAGACTGGAATGTAAAAAGCAGCGTGGGGTGGGCAGGCGATTCAGGAGATGCAAACTTGCATGAGGGAGACTCCTCTCTCTGCAGACTGGTTTTGGTTTTGAGAATTTGGGTGTGTTCTGTATTTCTGTGTTTTGCCCTCTTGCACTTTTCTAAAAGCTCAGAGTGAACCAGATCCTGATTAGTACACCATAAACTCCATGTTGTGCTTAATTCTGTGCTGCTCACTTATCGAGAACCTGTCGCATATGGAGTTAGATCAGTCTCAATATCCACAAATGCATATATTTGTATTTGTAGATTTGTTTTACATTTACATAGAATGAGATAAGATTCACAAATGTATATCTGATTCACTCAAATATTTCATAGTTTTGTGTATATGTGCAGATGTAACGCTAAAGTGATCACATTAAATCATACCCTTGAATCTACACTACTGTGATCGGCTGAATAGAAAGGAGACGTCTGATAGGCTACAGACATTTCCCTGCTACAACAAAAAGCATTTGTGACTCTAACCAGAAGTCCCACAAACAAATGCAGTGAGGTTCACAAATGACAAACCGTTTGTATATAAATGTAACAATATACAAATGTGTTTTTAAATATGTTTATCATGTATTTGTGGATTTCTATTACATGCATACAAAACTATAAATATTTGTGACTCAGAAATACATTGGTGAATATTGAGACTTATCTAACTCCAAAGTCCCAAAAGCAAAAAAAGGTCAACAAAAGGTGAATCAAGTGAGCGTTGCTTTGTGTGTGTGCGCTCACCTCAAATGTGTCGCAAAACAATTTGACTGGGCAGCAGAGTCAAAACAACAAATTTGCCGACTTACAATATCCAGCTGATACAGTACGACACGGGCATCCTACTGGAGTCCTGTCTGCAGCCTGTTGAATGTAAGTTATCTCACCTTTTTAGTCCCTGGGGTTCATGCACCTTCCCTGAGGATCTGGTCTGGGTTCTCTCCACTTCTCTGGTGTTCACGGTCGCTGTCACTTTGGGTGCAGTGTGCTGATCACTCCTTTTTAAATATTTGAGCACACATTGAAATGACACGGTGGTCTGCACTCTGAGGTTGATTGTTCATACATGTGAATAGCTCCTGATGATTCATGAACACCCATAGTAGGCGCTTTGTGTTTTTGCTGCACGATTACATTATCAAAGAGGTTTAATCATGAATATATTTTGAAAGCTTTCAAGTCCATCCTGTCTTAACTCCCTTTGTTTTTGTCTTCAGATTAAAGACGGCTCAGGTGCACAGCCAGTCCATCGTGCCCTGTATCCAGGAGCTGCAAAGGATTATGGGATGTGCTGACGACTCTCCTGTGGACACAAAATAACACTTTTTCAAACCCGCTGGTCTACTACACCACAGTGAAAACAAATGGGCCTCATGCCTGAACGATATCTGTGTGGCACAAAGTCCAGAACATTTTGACAGTGTTTGAAAACCTGCCACTCTTTCCCTCCAAAGAAAAGGGCGGAAAAAAAAGTGACAAGTAATGAAATCTGCTGTCTTCATAACTCAAATCGAATCAAAAGCCTCCTGTTTATTACAGGACATTCTCACACAACTTGAAAGTATTTATGAGGACTTTTTTTTTTTTTTTTGGTTGAACTCTGCAGCTGAATGCTTCATATTATTACAAAATAAAAGCCTTTTTTATAGGAACGTACACTGAGAAATGTGGCATCGACTCCAGAGCTGGGAACAAAATATCTATTTTTAGAACTTTATAGAAAACCTTTGGCATTGACGTAAATGTTTAAAGTATGAAATGGCTTTCTCCTCGCCTTCTAAAAGGGTGTGTGTATATATGTCCTCGTTACCGTTCACAATACTTGAACCTTTGGATGTCTGTGTTTTTTATATGTACGTCTCTTGTCTTTGTCTCTGATTGCACTGTTTCTGCTTGTCCTGAAAACTTGAAGATTTTTGATAAAATAGATCCTTAATTTCAATAAAGTTGTTAATTT